TCGCAGCGATGTAGTTTTACGGAGCCATTTGGGTGAATGTGTCAGGGGAAAAGGACTAAACCTACTCCCCCTTTCAGGCCAAGTCGACTTCTTCACGAACGGCCCACGTCCGTTCTCTCGAAACGGGGGGCTGACGACAGCGTATGGTGGGAGTCGTGATGGAGGCTCTCCAACTAAGCGCAAAACCGCGCTCCTGGGCTAGGACGACGGCGAAATTACATTGTGCTTTGAAACTATCTAATAGGTTTCGGATGATTGCACACACCTTCGCGGAGTGGCCTACACTTCTTGCGCGGTGTTTGACTTTCCAGAGCGTCGGTCGCCAATAGTCGCTCTCCACCACAGGCAGCAGCCATCAACAACGGCGCTAATTGTGGTAGTAAATTTCGGGAGGTAGAGAATGAAACATGCCTGATCATCATGCTATGAAACATTCTCAAATTCGTGTTCTCCACTTCGGAGAGGAGAGGGGGGAGTGAGAACGCGCCATCTTAACTTGTTTTTGCGGGAGTGGGCGGTTTCCCCAACGTTATAGCGTCTTTAGCGTAGTTTTTGTAACGGAAGAAGACAATTCATGCGTGCCAATGACTGAAGTAGTTCCCCTTGTAAAAGCACTCCTTAAGGTCTGTTTTAGCCGTATGAATTGAAAATCGATAGGATGTTTGCTAGTCAAACACAATCCTCTAGCAGCTTATGTAGGTAGTGTTGGCTGTTAAAAACTCTGTCATTGACGTCCTGAACTCAAGCAATCCCGTCCCTTGGCGTTTTTTTTCAGTACAATCAAATGGTAGCAACACCCTATAACTTCACTTTAACTCATGACCACTCTGATTCTGCTGCATCCCAGTTTGGTGAACCCCATTCCTGTAAGCAGATCAGTCCTACATCACACAAGCGGAGAGCGGCGTGCGTTTCTTCTGAGCTCCAGGCGCGTGAGCGCCGTCTACAAAAATTGCGTCCTTTTCCGTGAGAACGAACACCCAGACACTCTCTTCGACCCTGTCCATATGCTGCTCGGTGTTAATCCAAGTGAGGCATGCAAAGAAGCTGCGAAAAGGTGAAGTGAACATATTGCCGAGGGAAACTCCCGCTTAGACAGGACGAGCGGTGAAAACAGGCGAAGAGCTCCGTGCGACTGAGTGGTTCGCGCGACTAGGGTAACGTGGACTAGTGGTCATGGTTTCGAGCTCATTCTAGTCCGATCGTCCTGGATATCCCAGAGCGTCATATAAAAACGTAGCAATATTAATTAAATGCTATACTTCCGTTAGTAGGCTTAAAGGAAGTTACACACAGAAGAACGTAGCATGATAGAGGCAGAAGGATATGCCATATAAGCTTTCCCATGCATGACAAAAGAAAGGTAATATTCGAGACCGGTTTAATGAACACCTGGGGGCACACCTTAACGCATTAACGGTGAGCGGACACACCATTACGGGGACACGTGATATTAAGAAACGCGGCAGTGAGCATAATGCAGCAAATATCGACTTTAAAGTGGAAATATTATCAACGGTACAAGATCTCACAGACCTCGAGATACGGAGCTCCCTGCACATCCATAATCCGCGTCCGAGGCACGACACACAAACGTCGTCTTAGCGCATGATTTAAGCGGCGTTGTTTCAGGCAACATGTGTTAAGAAATGGTCGCATAGCCGCTGCTTTTGAACACTGTTGTCCCGTAGCAAGTTAATAAGTACGGCAGAGTGAACACTGGTTCCAAGAAGCCAACTGTTTTCTAGTCTTATGTATTCGATACGAGTCGTCGTCAAAGCCTTGGAGCCAGCCATTTGTGCTTCGGGGCCCTTTGCATGGTGTCGGGTGTTGGGTGTTGGTATGTGTGGGAATGATTGCACTGATGTTTTTAAGGAGTGTATTCCTAACTTAGTGTTCAATGCGTGTCATCGGGTATTTCAGGCTAGCCGCCACTCCTTCGAGAGGCACTAAGCATACCATTTTATCAAATGCTTAGATACGTAAGCCCGAACAACTGATTATTCAAGCACACTTTTATTGGCATAGTCTGCACAGATTCAAAATGTGCCCGTCTTACACACGGTTTAGGTTTTTTTAGCATTATTTTCTCCTTGTTCAGTCGAGGTCGTGAGTACTGCCTTAGAATGTCAACATTCCCATAATATAAAAAGTCCTTGACTGATGACGCCACTTAGGGGAGTATCCCTGATGAGGGAGTGTCCCACCCTTTTTGCACCTTTCAGTTATTGTCGGACTACACGCGTATGACTTGATGCATATTGCCAGTTTTCTCCAAATTCCTCTCAAAAACTTATAATTTTTATTTGAAGTAGCAGCTTCCGCAAGACAAATCTCATTTGACTCCCTGTTCACCACCATGAAAGTAATGCGTTTCATTGTCTAGCTTTTGTCAACGCGTGTGTGTTTTACGTTTGCAGGACACCAATGCGCCCAACTGTTCGTGGAGCAAAGGCTACGAAAGCTTGAAGTACTGTCTAGACTAAAAAGATGGGAACATGACACTATTATTCCCCGAATTCAATGAAACGCTATGCTGTGG